CAAAATTTCTGTGGTACATGTATCATGTCCAGATGTACAAAAAAGCCTCTTGGTGTGATACCTGACACCCAACATGGTAATTTTTTGCGATTTACACACTTTAACAAACTCCTTGGGAATTAGCCTGATCGACTTCAAATTTTCTTTGTGCAGTCTAAACCCATTGATGATTAAAAGTTGTACAAACTGTTATTACAACTCGACCAATTTGCCCGTGGCATTTTGTCTGCCATGAAACAGGAAGTTGTAATAACTTCAGTGTACATGCTCACATCTGCACCAAACTTAACATGATTGATAATGGTTCCGCCCCAAACACATCTGCATGCCAATATTCAGGTATACTCGTAGCGCCACGTACTGACATCCAGGAAGTAAGCTCTGTCTGACTCTCATTGTGTGATTTTAAATAAATTTTCACAATGTGTTTCACACTTGATGTGGTGAGACCTAACTTATAGATACCGGGTGCTCTGTAGTGTAACATAAGTGACACAGGAAGTGACTTTTAAGTCCTCTGTGTTCGAAGCCTGTGACAACGCTGCTTGCAGGTTTAATTTAAATCTGTTTTCACTAAATGTTCTGTAATCTTGTTTACATCGAGGGTGGCGTGGGTGGTGCTGGTATATCGTGTATCTATCCCTGGTTCAAAAACTACAAGCTCCACATTCCACAAGCTACAATGGACAATCACAGCTGAATTTTCAGCTGAATCAACTGCTGCCTTGATTAATTTAAATGCTTAGTGGTGGCTTTGACCCCCACTTTACTGGTAGGAGTAATGGTGGCAGGTCACAGATGTCAGCCTTTTGATACTGTATGGAGATGGACTGTTGTACTTGCTGCAGTGTGTACTTGCTATGCTGGACCAAGAACAGCTTCTGCAGTTGTCACTTCTCGGACTAAAGGACCTTAGAGGTTTAAAGCTTCAGAAAATGAGTCCTTAGTATGGGCGTCTGGACAGAGTCCATGGCTTCTGGCCTTGCTTCAGTGATGAAAAACAAGGACTGGAAAATCATGAACAAGAGCTAGTTGTACAATGTGTGCCATGACTACACATTTTAATTACCATGATAACCGGGTAATCTCACGGCAAACACTGTCCAACATCTCCCAGAAGCAGGTGTGCATGCGCAGAATGCAACGTGGGTTTGTTTGGGTCAGTGACAACACTGCAAAAGACAACGCTGCGGAGATTTTTCAGTCATTCTGAAGTCCGGTATTTTAGTTTTTATGAGTGTGCTGAGGGAAACTTGATTGAAGTAAATAACCTTATAGTGAACGCAGCTTTGGTTTGTCTGTCTGACTTGCTAACAGCGTGTAAACTGAAGCTCTTAGTACAAGTGTTGCTCTTGTAAAAACGCTACATGTTGTTCTGTTGCTGTGTGCGTTGCGTGTCGGCAGAGTCTATTCATCCACAGTTTAGTCAACCAGCCAGCATATCTAGAAACGCTACAGAGTCCTCTGTATATGTCAGGTTTTGGGCACATTGCAGTTACTATCACTGTCTTCTAAAACCTATTTGTTTTCATATAATGGTGCATGGGGTCATTGTATTACCTATATAATATAAAATCTTGATAATATACACTTAGATGATTTTCATATGTTTACAAAAGGTATTTGCTGTTATTTTATTTTTTATGCAAACAAAATGGCAATTGAATTTGTAGTTTTCAATATAAAACTTGTTGAAATTGTTTCAGTGTGTATCAGTACATTTTAATATTTTTTGGCAGATTTTTACAATACCGTGTTAATACTGATAACGGTGATCATTTTGCTAACTATAATCGTGATGAAATTTTTATACAGTTTCATCCCTAGCCATGAGCAAGCACAGCAAAGATGGATGGACCAACAGATTGAAGCAGTATTTAAAATAATGCTCAAATAATTGTTCAGTTACAGTTTTAACTTTTAGTAAAACATCAAAGTAAAAATACAAAACATTTGCACTTTCAAAAGGCAAAGATCAGCTATTTTTAAATGTGATTATAGAAGATTAAATTCATAATAACTCATTTACAATCAATTAATAAAAAAAAGTAACCGTCAGATTCTTATCTATTCTAATAGTGAGTTGCTGCACTAATTTAATGTATATGAGCCAGTTCATTTGAAATTTCCTCTGATTCAGAAAGAAAGAAAATATCTGAGCAGGGCAACGCCACAAGCAAAAAAAATTTAATGAACAAATTTTCTTACAGTTATTATCATTATAAACAGTTATTGATCACACATTAGGTGAGCTGATAAAGTTGTCGTGATCAACTGACATTTAGTAAGTGAATGTAAAGCATATGTTATAACTGCTGACTGTAGTTCTTTTTTTGTATGGCTTTTATCTGTGTACTGGTAAGTCATGCTGACTCTGTAGATAGGATTGTTTTTCAGATTTTAGTGTCTGTCTTGAGTCTGTGTGTGTGTGTGTGTGTGTGTGTGTGTGTGTGTGTGTGTGTGTGCGTGCATGTGTGTCTTAAATTGATGGAGAGCTTGTTGTTGCTCTGGAAAGCCTCCCTTGAGACACAGAGCAGACAGCAGCCACACAGCTGAGACCACTCCCACTAGTCCTGTGTGTGTGTGTGTGTGTGTGTGTGTGTGTGTGTGTGTTGGTTACCTAGACAACTAAAGGTAGGCATAATGGGCACCCTTTGCCAGCTGAACCTTTTCTCTCTCTGTTTCTCAAGTATTAATTTCCTCATCATGCATAAATCATGTAGCTTTTGGATTGCTCTGTATTTTTTGGCCTTTCTGCTGATAGTCCTGTCCCAAAAGAAATGATTCCTCATAGCACACAAAGGCCCAAACAAACAAATCCAGCCGCTACGCGTGATTCATGTCCTACCAGTGTGACTCACATTATTTTAATGCTTTTACAAGACTTGCAGTTGTACTACTGGTTTTAGGAGACTTCATGAAGTCTTGCTCACTGTCTGATAACATCCGCTAACACACCTCGAGGTCACATTTTCACATTTTATTCGATTAGGTCAAGAAATTATGGATTAAAGTGTCTGAAAGGGCTTTTTCACTTACAGATTTGTTGTTTTATTGGTTTTTAAGATATTGATTGTTCAGCCAGAATGATAATGAATAGATATTTAGTTGAATGCTGGTGTACCTTTTTGTAGATTGTCCTTAGTCTAGAAAGTGTGTGTGTGTGTGTGTGTGTGTGTGTTAAGAGTGAGGGATTGAGAAAGAGTTTACCTAAGGCAAGGTTTGGTGTGGTTGCTAATCTCCCTTTCTCTGCATCCTGGGACCTGCTGTGTGTGTGTTACAGAAAAGTACTGCGGGTATGTTTCAAATGAACTAATGAAGGAAATTCAGTGTAAGTGGAGTGTGTGTATGCTTGACTGCAGCAGAGAAGTGGATTCTAAGTGAAATGTCTGGTTCAATGTGGCATGAAGGAGCAAGCTTCTAGCTCCCCACCACCGCCGTGCCATACCCCTGAGTATGTGTGTGACCGCTCTCCTGGCAGTGCCATGCTAAGCCTGCCACCATCATCTTGAGCAGCAGCTGAGATTAACATCAAAAGGAATAACACACTGCTGTGTGTGTGTGTGCGTGCGCATGCATGTCAATTAAACATTTTTAAATGACCTTCTTAGTTTAAGTTATGTGAGCACTGTTTTTGAGTATTGCCAAATTGTGGCCACTATGTGAGACACTCCAGAAGCTTATTTGGCGAGTAGTTGGATAGAGGGCCTAGGCTAGGCATTCATAAATGCAGGACAGTGAGATGCAGTTGAAAGCACAGGAAAAGCTAGTAAGTGGACGTTTTAAGTGAAAATAGTTTTGTCACAGGTAATGTTCCCATGGTCAAGGATGAATGCTCAAATATTTAACTCTGTTTCACCATGTCAGTGATGCTAACATCAAAATGAAAAGGAATATTATGGAGTGATTAGTAATTTTAGCTGCGACCTACTGCAGTATAAATCTCCATGTCCGAGGATGGCCTATAAATGCTATAAAAGTTTTATAATCAAGGATGTAGACTTCACTGTGTCAGAGCTGGTCCAGGGACTGACTGGATGGGATCTTTAAGGTCTCCATACTATAAACATATTTATTTATAAAGAACATTACATTGCATTTTCAAGTTTAAAACAAAATCAACAAAGCACATTAAAGCATTTAGTTTATTTGAGGCACAGCAGGCGAAATCTGAAGCCTAGAGGAAGTGCGAAACCATTGAAAGCTTTATGAATAAACAAACAATAAAACTTTAAAAATGTTTATTTGGCACTTAGAAACCTAGCTTTCACACTAATGGAAGATTTGGTGCTCCACCACCACCACCTCCATAAGACCAAATGATATAAACTTTATTCTTCAGATCAATTTAGTGATGTATATGGCTGTCTTTGACACGATATGTCCTTTTGTTATGCCTGGATGTGTTTGTACTTGGGTCTCTCTCTTATAAAAGTAATATATAAATGAGGGAATATCTTGAGGAGAAATGATGTTCATTCCTCTAATAGAGTTCCACAGACTTGGCGGGGAGCATTGAAGCTGTTCTGGAGGCTTGTGGTGGCCTGACTCCATTTTAAGACACTTCATTTCCTTTAATTTGTCACTCATTTCTATATTTACTTGAAAGTCATTAGACACCTTTGAAAGACTGTGACGATCTTAAAAGATTATTCTGTGTGACTGAGACAGCGTATTGGTTTTACAAGAGTAGATTTTTTTTTTTTCACAACTTTGAATAGAAGTGATAATTTAGAGACTGATTAGAAATGACTGACACACATGGGATCATTGGGCGTGACTTTGCTGACCCACTGAGTGCTTCAGACAAAGGAACCGTGCCAGACACCAATTAAGTAGTTCTCCTTCTTTTTAGGTTTCGTTTGTTATGTTGAATCTTGTCATTATATGATTTGTTTTGTGATTATGTGTTGATTGGTTAGGTATAGGTTTTCTTTCTTTAAAAATTCAAGCTTGTGGTTATGTTCTATAAAAATAAGTGAACTTCTCTCTTTCTGTAGAGGACCCTACGGAAGCAGACCTGTGGTTGCTCAACAGCTGCACTGTGAAAAACCCTGCAGAGGACCACTTCAGAAACTCAATCAAGTACTGAAAAACACAAAATACCCACACAAAACACTCATGTCCTATTTTTATTTTATGGAGCCAATAGAAGTGAAAGCTGATTAAAACGTATTCAGCATATATTGTGGTGGAATGATTCAGTCAGGACTAGTTAGATTGGCTGCTGGAGAACTGTAGTAAAAAAGTTAGAGATAAAAGATTTCTGGACTGTCCACTGTAAGACTGCAAGTTACATCAAAATATATATTACCAAGTTTATCAGTAGGTTCCATGTCTTTTTTCATGAGATTAAATTATTCAGTTAGAATTAAAAGTTGAAACATTAAGACAGCTAAATAGTAAGAATAATTAATTTCACCATTTCATACCCATCAACAAATAAAGAACATGAGACTATCTAGAATAAACTGATTTAGCTTCTGGGATATCATCATTTATTTCAAAAGGTTATACTTATTATGCTATTCCAAATGCATTTTCTCATGCATAAAAGTGTGTGTGTGCTACATTTTTTTCAGCTTGTTGCTCTATTTCAGTTCCTGCCTACTCACTGTTCCACTTGTCTCTCACTGCACTGTTGAAACACGGAGAGAGAGAACGAGATATTTGCATAAGCAGAGAAATTAAGCTAAAAACTGTTTTGCATTTTGATTAATTTTTATACATCAGGGGCACACGCACACACCTGGCGGGTGTTTGCTTTTGTGTTGGTGAGAGAAAACTGAGGCTTGAGTCACCGGGTGACTGTGTGTTTATAAAAAAAAAAAAACAGTTGAAAACAGTTTTAAGATTCAGATAAGATCTCTGGACCTTTATGGACTGTAGGCAGAATGCCATCAAATAAGAATTATCAATTTAAGTGATCATATTTACTGTTGATGTAATCACAGTTGTTCAACAGATATTAAGGGTGCTCTGATCGATCGGTCACTGATTGTAATCAGCCGATAATGGCTTTAACTATAAAAAGGCTGATCAGAAAAGCAGATCAGATGATGCAATACTCACCAGACAAATTTTCAACGGCAGCTAAAATGGTTTCAATACGCGGTCTGAGCAGTTTCCAAAGCTAGCTAGCACCAAAGTCCTTTTCAGGCAGGAAGCTATTGATGCGGCCAGTTAATCATCATCATCATTACAATGAGAGCTGAGCATCAATCAGACAAGCAGAGCAACAAGCAGAAGCAATCATGTGAAACTGTTGCGGTTGTGCTCATCTCACACACTCCTGTCCAGATTAAAACAGCGAATCCGAAGATGTTTCTTTGAAAACGCTTCTGACCCTGTGGGCAAAAATGCAAAGCAAAATCACAATGCTAATGACAGAGTTTTAGTTTCAGTATTTTTATTAAAATATTTTATACTATGTAAATCACTTGCACTGTGCATGTCGGTGTATTTTCTTTGCAACGACTTCCAGCCTCTTTTCCGGCATCACAGTCTCTCTGTACTCCTGTGTCACTTTTAGTAACAGTCCTAACTCGTTGTTCAGTGCAAAAAAAAAAAAAAAACCTGGTGTGGTTATTTGTCTGTATTACTTTCTTCTTTCGACAAATCTTCTGCAACTGTGGAGAAGACCATCTGCTTCATGTTTACACCGGCAACCGCACGCCCAGTGTACGTGAACGGCCACTAGATGTGTTTTCGTGTAGACTGACATTGATCTGACAAAAATAATATTAGGCCTATACTTGTGGTAAACCAAATGAAATTACAATGAATAGATGAACTATAAGTAATATTAACAATATACTAACAGTATAATATGGAATTAACATTGTACTTTTATTTATTTAAATTTTCAAATCTCATTGATTGTTAAGACTCCTCTCTGTAGCCCACTCTCCCTCTCTCTACTCCTCTCCTTTATCATTGACTCAGGATGCCTGTGCTCCTTTCTCCTAAATATTTTGGCTACAGCCTTTTTTGTTGCAGTTTTTGTAGTTGAAGTAAATTTATAAAGATGCTGTTTGTTCTGTTTTTGTAGTTTATTCCACTGGAAAGCTATATTTGTTAAGCTGTATGATGTTTGCAGAAACCAGGCAACCGTCTGTTAATTTTAATACTTAATACATTGTTTTTAGGACTAATTAAATAAATATACTGTATAATGCTACATGATAAATAAAAGGCTTCAAATAGACTCTTTGATTGGTATTGGCCGATACTGCTTTCAGCAATTGGTGATCGGCCCAAAAAATCCTGATCGGAGCACCTGTAACAGATATATTTTTAAACTCTCTACCCCTGTATGCAGACATTCCTTTTCCTGTGAAGTTTTAATTAACATCTGTCATGAGTCATGTAAAATCCAGATCATCCACTTGAGCCTGTCTCTAGGGGCCATTAGAGCAGTGGTTCCCAACCTTTTTTCCTTGGCGCCCCCCCTACTTTTGTCTAAGAAAAGCTGAGCCCCCCTAACAGCTGACACACAGAAAAATATTATGTAATTACTCACTAATAGCGAACAAATGGAGTCAAATGACACCTCTGTTGCTCTGTGTAAATCAGTGCCAGCTCTTGGTTGGCCTTCACCAACAGTCTCCTGGTGTTTTGTTTCTTGGTATTGTTTAATACCAAGAAAAGGGGTTTATAATGTGTAATATTTACAAAATATAGGCCTACAGCTTGCACTAACTTAAGTGTTTTCAACATAGGCCTCTACTTTTCTTGGGCGGGTCGGAGCAAGCCGGCGTGCCGTGAGAGACCAGAGGTGCAGGCTAGGTGTGTGCGAGTGTGGGGAGAAGAGCAGAGGAGCAGATTCAAGTAAATAAACACTAAACTATAAGGTGGAAAATGACCTACAATAACCTACTGTTAATACAAATAGCCTACAATATACACAGCTACCGAGCCCACCAGCCACCACCACCACCGTTGCACTGTGTCTTAATGAGAGCTCATCAGTCCAATGAGCAAGTGTGTCGCGGTTCTGTTTCTCGGGTTCGCGACACGAGATTATGGACTTCTGTGTCGCGATTTTGGTCTCTGTTTCAAAACCATTACAGCCCTACTACTAAAGGCCCATTTATACTCCTGCGTAGGGTCTATGTGCATACCTACGCCGTAGGCTACGCACGTAGCCATGCATTTATACTTGTGCGTAGGTGTGTCCATCATTCTGCAATTACACGCCCGCTGTGTTGACTTTTACCAGCCGAGCAGGCTAACTTCCGATTTAGCGCTCCGCTAACGTAAATGGGGGTAAAATTGTATATGTGCGGCTGGTGTAGCCTTTTCAAATGTTACTGACTGAATGGATCACATTCTGATAGCGAAACGAGTCATTTTGCTCGCGTTGTGACGGTCAAATATATTGATTCACTGTGTACAGCCGCAGTTTTGGTCACTAGTAAATGTTACTTCAAAGCGCAGGGTACTTCCGGTCGGCTCAGAGGCATTGCGAGGCTACCCAGCCAACCAATCACAGAACTTACGGTCCGCTTCTCGACTCGACGTGTATTTACATTTTTGAGGAGGTGCACGTCAGGCAACCTCACCTCACCTACGCCGTTGATTTGACGCAGAAGTATAAATTGCACTTAAGTAGTCTGCCTACTATTTTAAGTGTGAAAAAAATGTATACAGACTTTGGTATAACTTATCTAGTGTGTTATCACAGTTTTTTTTAAATGTGCAAATCAAAGTTGTTTTTGACAACCTCAAAACAGATAAAGCTTTGGGCACCCCCTGTGATCTCTGATTAAATGTAGCTTGGTAGTTATTAAGACCAATTTTGGTAGGCTTTGAATTTCCTGACTTCCTTAAAAAATACATCTTCCAGCAATTTTATAAGCATTGCATTATGTATCCTGAATGACCCCGAATTCGACGTTCGGTCATTTACTTCACACCTCATTTGATCTTTCTTTTTTCATTTCACTATTTTTTGACAATTGTTGAAATCATGTTTTTGTTTATCCCTTATATTATAGTAAATTGATAATTTTTTGGTTTAGGATTGTTCACTTAACAAGCTATTTAAATGTTACCTTGGTTGCTGGTAAAATTGCTTGGCATTCTTTACTTTTTAAATTTTTTATTTTGTTTACATTTTATTGACAAAAAGATTAATCAATTGAGAAAATAATCATTACAGCCCTACGCTATTTATCAACAGTGAATGTGGAGATTAGGGGTGGGAATCTCTGGGCACCTCACGATTCGATTGCGATTTGATTTATAAAACGATTATCGGTGCATCCTTTTTTCTATACAGGATCCCTGGATAATTACTAAGCTTTTAAGTTCTGCATTAAAATACAAAAGAAACGTCTCCTAATTAGCTTAAAAGGACTAGTTTGCATCCCTAATTTACTTTATTAACCTCAGCTCCATGGTCCCTCATTTCATTAACAACCAGTTGTCAGACTCTGAAAACTTACGAATAATTATCAGGATATAGTCTACAGTATGTATACAGGACAGAGTTGCACACCAGTTTAGTCTAAGCTTGTACCTGATGTTTTCAACCCTTAGCTAGTAGGTTAGTTAGTAATGACATACAGCTGATAATTAATATTAACTTACTAATTTAGCTAACGTTACAGGTTCATTATGACATCTATAAAGAGAGACTTCGCATTTATAATTTAGAGCTGAGAAATGCAAGGCGGTCCTTCTTCTCTGACATCATCACCAAAAACACTAATAATGCACGTGCCCTATTTGCTACTGTCGACAGGCTAACCAACCCTCCTGTGTCTGTAGCCTCTGAACTTCTATCCACCAGGGCCTGCAATGAATTTGCCTCCTTCTTCACAGACAAAATTCAACCAAATTACACAAGCAATCAGTGCCTACATATCAGGTACAGGATATGTCTTGTCCCTGTGTCCACTTAAAAACAATTCATATAGCATGAGACAATTTGATTCTATTAACCATAAAAACCTGGAGGACATAATACAACATCTGAAATCCTCTTCATGCTGCCTTGATATTCTGCCAACAGGTTGTTTCAAAAATGTGTCTAAATGCATGACCTCAGATTTACTACAAATTGTCAACATGTCTCTCCT